GGCGGCGGCTGCTGTGATCTCTGCCCTCCGGCCTTGCCCGTGCGGTGCTGCTGCGGGTGGTATCTGGCGAGCGGTGTGCTCTGTCTTGCTCACAGCCAGGAGGAGTTAAATGTTGGTTATTGACACAGGCAAGTGGAATGAAGTTGGTTGCAATGGTACCTTCAAGGTTTGTGAGTGTTGCTCTGGTGCAAGTATTTCTGATAAGCTCTTGTCACTATCTCTGGCTAGAGCATATTGCCTCATTACAGCCTTCCCAGCTTAATCAGAAGGACCCCTTAAAAATTCCCTCATTCTCTTTATTGTATATAGCAATTAAAAAAAGAACCCACCACATTCATTCTGTGGTAGTTTGTTTGTTTGTTTTGTTTAGAACATTAATTATGACAAACTGGCAAAGCTGTTGATTTGACTAATAACTACTTCATTTGTCATCTAGGTTTCTAATTTAGCAGTAGGTTGTTACCTGCTCTGAGCAGGTAGACTGTCCTCTCATTTCCGTGGGATGCTTGAAGGTATAGGAATTCAACAGAACTCAGTGTGAGACATGAAGGAACTGGAAGGTAATATTTATTTAGAAAGAAACAACTGATTTTGGTCCCACAAAATAATTTTCTCATATGCTTCACTCACATTTTCTCACACTTGCATATTCGCAAGCTCCAAGAGTTGTGCGTCCAAATGGTGTAGCTGGGGTGGCTTGTGTGCAAGCGTGTGCCACCTATCCAGTCCTTGCTATCACTGTTGAGCCCGTACCGTCTCTTAGCATCCTCTGGATTGGTGACGACAAACTTCTTTCTGGGCAGGTCTTTTATGATCAGGAGTTGGAATAATGTCATCTGTTGCTTCCCTCCAACTCTTGATTACTTCAGCCTCCATTAATCTTAGGCAGGGTTGCTCCCTGTTTTCTTTGTTTCCTTATTTCTGGTATCTCCATGGCTACATTCTGCCTTCCTGTTGTGACAGCAGGGGCAGGGGTGGCGTTTACAGCGTGCTCTGACCTTGTCGCCATCCTCCTGTTCCCAGAGCACAGGCGTTCTGGGAAATCACCTGCGATAGCGCCTTATCAGAGTGCAGGCCTTCTGCTCTCCGTTTACACAGCACAGTCCTCACTGTTTACCCGTTTTACTGCTCTCAGCTATGCTCTTGGTCGCTCTTTTAACCCTTGCCTTACTGCTTTTATTATGTTGCTTTCACATATGCATTGCTGTTCATAATTCATTCATGCCACTCTTCATTGTTCCGTTGCAGTCTCTTCATCAGCACCGAGCGAGCTCTGTAGGGCTCAGCGCAGAACTATGCACTCAGCTGACGCCGCAGATCGGTCTCTTCAGGCCCTCGTTGTGCTGTAAGATACATCGCTTACGATCTGATACTGCGCAGGGAGCCCTTGCTTGTACTTGTGAGGGAGTGCTGCTATCCCACAGATCCCGGCAATAGGTGCAATTTAATGAGCAAATGTAGAAACATGTTTTCAATTAGCTTTCTATAATGGTATTAAATACAATTTATCATTGGCTGTATTTCTCATTTAACTCTGCAGCATTAGTTCAGCTGTGTCTTGTCGGCAGCGATTTCAGCAGAGAAGCCCAGCTGAGAGCAGGAGGGATCGCTCCCTTTGGTGACATCACACGCTGACATCAGGTTATGCCAGTTGCGAAGCTTTGCCGTCATCCGGCGTGTATTCCACCGCAGCCGGAGCTCATCCAAGAGAGGACCTCCCTTCCCCGGAGGCAGCGCTAGCCGTTGTGCAGCTCTGTAGGAAACTGCTTCGTGGGTGGATCCAGGCAAACGTTCATCACCTTTTGGGGTGTTTTTTTGTCGTTGGGCGAGGTTTCTGCCAAGTCGGCTACCTGAGCCTCGTGATTGTGCTCGGGAGAGCGCGAGCGGAAAGCAAGAGACGCGCAGGAAGGCGAGGGAGGCAGCGCCGTCGCTGCACTGATCCGAATCGGTGTAATTTGGTGTGGGATGGCGCTTCCCGTGAGGAAAGGAAGAACAGTGAAGAACAGTGGTCAGGTGGAAGAAACAAAATGCTAATAAGACCCCAAAATAATTGGAGAGCACATGGAAAAACAGCACAAGGCATGGAAAAAGGATGACTGTCAAAGGCCAAATTCTGCCCTACGTAGGTGCACGTGCCTGTAGAGTCTTCATTTAATTACATTTTAACTGAATGTGAATAACAGTATTTAGGTTATTGATACATAATGTAATTTATAAAAGTTTCTTTTTACACGCGGTATGCTCTGACTCCCTGCAAGATATTTTCAGTACTTCAGGAAGGCGTCCCGAGTGGCGGTTGTAAGGGCTGTGACCTCCGTGACGCGTACCCTTGCGAATTTGTTCCGTGTGCGGTGGCTACGCCGC